ACATACAAAGCGTTGCAATAGTCCAGTCTTGAGGTAACAAAGGCATTAATAACCCTTTCTAGGTCTTTAAAAGATAAATACGATAGAGATAAATAGTCTTATTTATAAAAATAAATTTAAAAAAAAAAGGATTTGACTACGGTGCTGACCTGCTTGTCGAATTTAAAAGTGCTAGTGAAGGTCACTCCAAGGTTCATGACAGAGGGGAGGATGTTCTCATTGAGAGAGCCCAGAATATCAACCGGAGAGGCTGGAGGTTGGTGTCCAAAAAAGATGACCTCGGTCTTGCTCTCGTTGAGGTTAAGGAAGTTTTTGCTCAGCCAGGATTTTATCTCTATCAATCAGTCCATCAACTGCTGTAGTGAATGTTTGACATTTGCTTTGAGAGGCAAATAGATCTGTACATCGTCGGCGTAGCAGTGGAAGGGAATATTGTGTTTAGTGAGAATTGAAAGAGGATGGGGCCCAGGATAGAGCCTTGGGGAACCCCACAGGTAAGATGGGCTTTAGCAGAGGAGAAGGCACCTAGCTGCACTGAGAAGCTACGATCTTTCAGGTAGGACCTGAACCATGCAAGGGCAGAGCCTGTGATGCCTGTGGACTGTTCGAGCCGCGACAACAGGATGCTATGGTCCACAGTGTCAAAGGCAGCTGTCAGGTCTAACAGCACCAGGACAGCTGGGCTACCTGAGTCTGCGGCTAGGAGCAGATCATTAAAATCTCTTAAAAGGGCTGTTTCAGTACTGTGCATGGGTTTGAAGCCAGACTGAAACTTTTCATGGATGCCATGCGTGGTTAAGAACGACTGCAGCTGGACATAGACTACTCGCTCCAGGACTTTAGATAAAAAAGGTAGCTGGGAGATGGGCCTAACATTTGCGAGAATGGAGGGGTCGAGATTTTTCTTTTTAAGTAGTGGCTGGGACACGGCATGTTTGAAGGCAGCTGGGACACATCCTGAGCTAAGAGAGGTTTTTATTAGTAATAAAATACTTGCTCCAACTGATTTGAAAACATCTCTGAGAAGGCGAGAGGAAATGCTGTCTGAGGTGCAGTTTGTCGGCTACAGGTGCTTGACTACATCCGAGAGAGAAGAGCTCAAAATGGTCGAGGACAGCAGGGCACAGAAAAGGAGAAGGATCTGGGGTAGCATTAGTGTGGGCTAGCCTAAGTGCAGATACTTTAAAATGTAAGACACTTATCACAGAGTAGGTGATAGCACAATAGAAGAAACATCACAGGGATTAATAATAGAGTTGAGGACATTAAAAAGAACCTGAGGTTTATGGTTGTTTTTGGAGTCTCAACAACATGTATAGCTGACATTTATGAAGCTACCAACAGAGGTGGAAGAAGTACTCAGGTCTTGTACTTGAGTCAAAGTAGAAGTACCAGAGTGTAGGAATACTCTGTTAGAAGTAAAAGTCCTGCATTCAAAATGTTACTCAAGTAAAAGTACAAAAGTATTGGCATCAAAATATACTTAAAGTACCAAAAGTAAAAGTACTCATTATGCCGATTCAGAATAATAAAGTATTATATGTTTTGGTTATAATTGATGTGTTTATCAAAGCTGGTAAAGGTGACACTAATTTCAACTAATTGTGATATTACTCCAGGTGTATCTAAAGTAACTTTTAAGGGTTGATCCTATTGTTTATCATTAATATATATATCTGCAAAGTAACTAAAGGTATTAAATACATTTAGTGGAGTTAAAGTACAATATTGACCTCTGAATTGTGTTGAGTAGAAGTACAAAGTAGCATAAAATTGAAATACTCACGTAAAGTACAAGTACCTCAAAAGTATACTCAAGCACAGTACTTGATTAAATGTACTTGGTAACTATACACCCCTGGCCACAAATTCCTAATGATGTGTTTTCCTGTTTCATGTGTGCTTTTTCTAACATGCCCTTTGCACAGCTACAGTTGAAACAATAGTGTTTGTTCACTTTTTATCTCACTCAAATATTGTATGCAAATCCACAGCAGTAGTTATCAGCATGCATTAGTTTGCAAATATATAACTGTGTATAACTATCATACTAGAGGGAGTTCGTTTATAATGTGATGAATATGCGCTGTAAAGAAAGCTGGTCTTTACTAACTGTAACCAATGACCTACAGTGCATACCTAAACTCAGACTGTGAAATGTGTTATATTCACATCTTACAGTCCTTAGACTTAGTGTGCTTTGTGTCATTACTCTGGACATCAAATGTGGTTAATGCAGCATCATTACTTCATCATCTCCCCATTAAAACATGATCTTTTTAATATTGTGTAAGGACTCCACTCCTTTCCTTTTTCATTCTACCTTTTTACGATTACTTTCAAAAAAAAATAACGGAGTGAGTGGGGGGTTTTAAATACACAACATTCATATTTCAACTTGTTGCATCATTTTAAGTTCCTTACAAAAGACAAAAACAAGTAGTTTGATGAAAAACAGTAATGCAGATAATATTGCATTTCCACTAACGGAAGCATTTTTTAGCCATCATTGGAACACATATGCTTACACTACATATAACACGTCACACCTTTTCATGTCGTCATCTCTGAAAAACAATGAATAAACTAAAACATCAGCATTAAAGGTGGGGTAGGTAAGTTTGAGAAACCGGCTCGAGATACACTTGTTGTTATATTCCATGGAATGCTCTTAACATCCCGATAGCAATGAATATCTGAAGTGCTTTGACAAAAATCCATAAAAAATGTCATCTGTGGAAGCCGTAGTACTGTAAAAAGTACAACCTAAACGGATTGGATTGCCGCCAAATTCAAATTTTAGTGCACTCGAGCCGGTTTCTGAAACTTACCTACCCCACCTTTAAGTCAAACAACTTCCACTGTTTACACACACTTTGCCCCAGCTGATTTCAGTGTTCACATCTGAGCCTGCAGGGCTACTGAAATCTTTCAGTTCCTCACCTTTAACATAACGTTTGTTCAGGACTTCCACTTCAACTGTACGCTTCATCTGACATTTACAATACTTCCAGTAATCAGCCTTTCAACCACCAATCAGTACTTTCACTTCAAAGCTTTCTTTATCTTTATCCCCTACGAATAAAGGGATTCTGATTCCCTAACTAGTAAACACTTAGCTTTGTAACTTGTCTGCCACTTAGAAGACTACTTCAACTATTTTAATGGTTTCAGCTTATCAACTTTCATTTTCTATTGTTATCTCAGTGAGCAAAACTACGTGATCAGCTTCGTGGTTCCCGACCAGAAGAGGATGACAGAACTGGCCAGGAAGAAAGGCATTGTGGGAGAATGGGAGGAGATCTGCACTCACCCCGACATGGAGAGAGAGGTTCTGAGGGAGATCAAGGAGGTTGCTGCTAACAGTAAGAACTGATGTGTTTTTATAACAGTGTGAAAAAGCTGTAGAGATTATCTTTACTAAATGCACAATTCTCATTCTGTCCTTATCCCTATTAAAATGTTTTTATTGAGCCAAAACTATATATTATAAGAAATGTGTTATTGTTTCAATGCTCATTTCCATTAATATAAAAATAATTACCTCATTTATACATTTTTCTCACAAAAATAAGCAAAAAAACATATTTATTTAGAAATTGGAACAGTATCAAGAGTAAGAAGTTCAAAATAAAAAAGGTAAACAGTATGTACTGATATTTGAGTAAAAAAGAGCATTATAGATTTCACTATACTGTGAAGAATGTATGTGAGATGAACTGTTCTCTTCGTCTTTCATCCATTCAGTAAAACTTCAGCGATTTGAGATTCCAGTGAAGGTTCACCTAAGTCCAGAGCCATGGACCCCCGAGACGGGCCTGGTCACAGATGCTTTCAAGCTGAAGAGGAAAGAGCTGAAGAACCACTATCTCCACCACATAGAGAGAATGTACGGAGGCAAATAACTGCTCAATTCCACCTAAGAGTCTCCAGTGTAACTATAACAATGTAAATAATCTTCCCGGTACCCGATATGATTTTTAATGCTGTTTGTGTACCACTGGCGTCGACCTTGAATATGTCTTGAAAAGAAAAGCTGTAGATAGTAGTCGATCCATGTGTGCTGCTTTCTATTCTCGTGTACATGAGTTTTGATTGTCAAAAGAAATGCACTCAACTTGCAACTCGTATGCCATGAAAAGGGTCTGAAACCGTTACAGCACTTAACTGCCACTCACTTAAATCCGCTGGCACTGGTTGTAGCTGATTTATTTTAAAAAAACATACCACTGTCCTCTATATGTTGCTGATGCTTTTGTGTTACTTTCGTTGAAAATATGAACAACTGTTTTCATCACGGAGGCTTTTTTTCCTGTTTTGTAAAGTTGGAGTACTGATGTTACTGTGCCTTCACTCTGCAGTACTCGTGTAGGCACGCAGAAGTGTCAGCTAAATGATTCAAACAAATAGGTTTGTGCTTTGTTTACTTGGGGGATATATTCCCCCCAGATACTCCGACATGGATCAGACATAACACACATGTGATCATGTCTGCTTAGCAACTCTTTTGTTCCTGTCAAATATTTTATTTATTTTGTTTGTGTCAACTTATTGAATAAGTCAGACCTACATGTGTGAACACAAATGACTCAGGAAGCTAAGCAAATGCTTTAATATATGAATTGTCAAATAATGGGTTACTTGTATCCAAAGCCCTTTTGTTGAAATTCTTGTGGGCACCTTATTTATTTAAGAGCAGGCATGCTTGTCCCCAAACCAACTGCTAACATGCTCATTAGCTAGTCAGGAAGTGTCTATAATACTGTGTGTCTTTTACCTCAGTTAATGTACAATTTGGTATCAGAAGGTTATCCGAAGTGGAGTCTGTTCATTTAAATATGAGTGTTTTCTATGTCTTTTTCAAAGTGTTGTGTAATTGTATTTGCATCATTAAAATATGTTATGGACACAGACACTGACCGTCTCTACACAGTTTGGTGATCCTGTTTGTATTTATTACTCCATTATTATGATCACATGCCTTGTTCAAGAATAAACGGTTTTTTTTGCATATTTTGTGGTGTTTGACATTTTATTACAAAAAGAGATATAAACAAAAAGCATCTACATTAATGCTGTTGATTGTTTTGATGGAGAGCCTCAGCTGCTCCAGTCTTGAAACCGGAAACAGTCACTAGCAATCTTCCAAACAGGCTGGTCATTGTTGGGTGTTGCCTGAGCGGTCAAAAGAAAGTTCTGGTTGAAGAAACGCTGTTTGTTCCCTTCAAATTTGACAGTCCCACCAGTCACCACGAGCAGTGTAGTCTGACCCTGGGTTGCTTGTTCTGTGAAGAAAGGGTAGATTGATCCTGGATTAGAGCACCTTCATGGAATAACATCACATGGTCGAAGTTCTACCAACCATGGCATTTTAATCTGCTTCAAATTTGGAATCCCCCTCTTCATTAGAGGGTCATCAATAGAAGTTGTTTTATATAGTAGCTAACACGAAGCTAACCGTGAACTGGCTGACAATCCAGTGTTTGAACTTGGAACTCGCTTGAAGGCAATGAATCGAAGAAATCCGCCAGAGCATCGTTTCCAGACACAGCATTCCCATTCCACACCAAGGTCGCCTTGTCCAGGTAGAGCCGGGTCAAGTTCTGAGACGGCCGTAAAAAAAACATTAACAAGATCACAAACATCAAGGGAAAGCAGCAAATAGCTTGATCTACACCCAGAGCAATACTGGATTGAGCAGGCCGATACTTTTATTGATATACGGGGGGAAACATTTTTATAAATCGTAAAATATATCAGCTATTCGTCTCAGAAAATAACATTTAATTTGATGGGTTAAATTGGACATTTTATGGTTTTTACTGCTCTCTGGTGACCAAACTATGTAATAATATATCCAGTCTCTGATTGTGTTATGTTATTATATGAGTGCTCTCATACTTGTTTGATTCTGAAATTGTATTTATATAAATATATATGTGTCTATATATGTCTGCATCTGTAGACTGTCATTGTCTCATTATTCCGCACTGTGAATGAATTGAAAGTAAATATATAAGTGGTCATGAACACATCTGTCCATCAGACAGAGGCTGCTGTGCCTCCTGTCATCATTAATGGACGTCTCTTTAAAATGACCGCTCAGGAGAGGATTTCTCATTTCTCTAAACGCCTGCTGCTTCCACTCCTCTCTCCTCGGTTCCCCTCCTCGACTCCTCCGGTATAAAAGCCCCGTCCCCACATTCACAGCTGGTCGATTTCAACACAGGAAAACGGAGAACTGGAAGAATGAGTGGAAAAGCTCCGTGGGAATTATTATGTGCAATTCATTTCTTACAGTTATACTAACAATTTAAGTCATGTTTAATGATCTTGAACGTCACTAAAACATAGCTATTAAGAAAGCTATTTCATAAATAGCTAGATCTTGATAAATAACATTTATTTCATAGTTTTGTGTTAAATTATTTAAAATTCACAGTCCTGAATGTGGGTTTGTGGTGAATTTGGGGGTAGAAAAAGAATATAAAACAGAGTTGGTTTTCTTTTTACAAGAGTCCTTTAGAGGGCTCAACCCCCTCAGGACACACATTTTCAGAGTAAAGGCTTTCACATTACTATAATTATATTTTTATTTAAATGTAGGCTACATTTTACACCAAAACGGAACACAAAAGCAAGACCGACCATCATACATTCAATTCCTTGACTAACAAGAGAAAGATTCATTCATTTATATTTAACCAGAAATGGGCCGGTTCTAAGGGGTTATTCAGTTAAGCCCGATGAGAGGGGATACAGCTGTGCACATGTCATCATTAACAGACGTCGTTTAAAAGTGACGTTTGAGTGAACGAGGACGTCCCAATTAATACCTGAGGACTCCTCTGTCCTCGCGTCTCCTCCTCGTGTCTCTCGCTCGCATCTTACGGAGGCGGAGCAAAGACGCAAGGAAGGGACGCGAGTGAGGGAAAGGAGGAGGTGAAATATTCAATTGAGATGAGCCTTCAGTATCTGATATATTCCCAAATACCGATATCTCTGATATCCATGTTGTAGAAGTTTTACTTATTTAAATACATGTACAGTACTAGTCAAAAGTTTGGACACACCTTCTCATTCAATGGTTTTAGTTTATTTTAATGTGTTTCTACTTTGTATATTAATACTGAAGACATCAAAACTATGAAAGAACACATGGAATTATCTAGTTAACAAAAAAGTGTTCCAGAATATGATTTTTATTTTATATTCTTCAAAGTAGCCCCGTTTTGCCTTGATGACAGCTTTGCACACTCTTGACTTGTCAGCTTCATGAGGTCGTCACCTGGAATGTATGTCTGCAGTAGCCAGCAACATAGAAATCATATTCTGGATTTTTTTTTACACTTTTTTGTTAACTAGATCATTCCAAATGTGTTCTTTTATAGTTTTGATGTCTTCAGTATAAATCTACAATGTAGAAATAAATACAAAACTTCGAATGAGAAGGTGTGTCCAAACGTTTGACTGGTAGTGTATATGTACATTGAACACACAGTAGAAGCAATGTAGCTGCTTTATTGTGAACGTCCAGCAGGTAACTGACAAAGTGACCATAACCCCAAACAGCTAAACTCACATAGCACTCACTATGGTGGCCTACAATGGACACAATCTTACAATTCACCGAATGATCTACACATGTCGATGTATTGGTCAGGCTTAAATGACCTCAGACAAATGATTTATAATAACTGGAGTATTTGTGTTTCCCATTTCAGACAACAACACAAGACCATCACTCACCCTTCTTTTCTTATCCATGCAGTCGTAATAAATGTTGACAAATTCTTCTGAATATCGGCATGACTGGTCGACATGGGTCCTGAAATCCTAGAGTGAAAAATCACTTATTGAAAGCTGATCGCAAATGTTTAAAAATAAACAAACATGACAAGATGTGTGAGACGGTCAATGCATTTTAAAAGTCGCACATTGGAAAGTGACGTTACCTACTAGCTAGCAAAACAACGCGTTAGCTAGTTCCTTTCAGCATAAAGTGTAGCACAAGTTTCAAACTTACCAGCAGCGGGCTAGCCATTTTAGAGTTGTACGGAGCGGAACAACTCTGGATGTATTAACTATTATCAAATAGTATAGTGAAAAATAATGTAAGCGTCAATTAAGGTAGCGTTTATTTTCTTGTTCATTTAGATTTAGCATCCAACGCTGCCATTTTGACGAATGAATTACTTCCTCTGGGCACTAACTATACCTACCAAAATAAAACGTGTGTGTGTTTTATATGCAACGAGGGCCTCTGATAGCGTTGTTTCAAGACTATGAATACCGTGTTACACAAATTATATTTGACAAGTGATAAAAATGTAATAATAATCGAATTAATAATAGAACCACATACGAATTTAGCCTCAACGTCGGGTGATGCCGCTGATAATATTTTACTTTGAAGGGGGAATATAACGGAAGAGCGGAAGTAGAGTTCATAGTTTCCTGAGTCACGACTGCACGGTTCAAACAACCTGAAACAACCCCACTTTGCTAACTACTGTGTACATTGTTTATATCTTGAATTATTTTTTAACAATGGAGAGCACTGTATCAAATGTAAAGGTCTGTAATTTAGCTTTCACGGGGGAGTTTGAACAATTAAAAGAGTGCATCCTGGCAGATAAAACGCTTGCCTGCAAAACGGACCAGGTAAGAATGAATGTTTTAAAAATAAAGACACAAGTCAAGGGAAATTGTTCACATCTTTTAAGCATTCTAGGAATTCACCCACCGTTTCCTGTGGTTTCAGGACTGTAGAACCGCTCTGCACTGGGCTTGTTCAGCTGGACACACCAACATTGTGGAGTTTCTGCTGGACCTGGGAGTGGAAGTGAATCTGCAAGATGATGTAGGCACTTCTACAACTAAATGTTTGGTTGCAGTATTTTTGTCCTCTAATGTAGTGCATAGCAGTTAGTATTATATACTATTGTCCTTATACTACAGTAACTACCCAACTTGATACACATTCGAGAATAATGAATAACTTAAATGTGTCTCTTTAAACCCTCTTGCTTTTAGAGACGTTGCATTTATAATAACCATGTAAAGAAAATGTAGTAGAATTTATGTTTTTACAGTTGTGGAAGAAGTACTTAAATAGTTTAAATAGCAAAACCAATATTTTCAAAAATACACACAAGTAAACAAATAGAGTAAAAGTCCTGTATTAAAAAAACCTACTTAAAATTAAACACATATTGGCAAATACTCAAACTACCAAAATGTAAAGTTCTCCTAATCGCCCATTTCAGAATCATGAATATTAAATAACTGCATTATAGTACAGCGGATAAGCTCTCATATTATAACAATTGTGCATTTTATAAGAAAAGCATGACATTTCTAACATAGTTAGTGGATACCATAAGGTTTATTTTCAGATGTGGAGGGAAGTCAGATTTGACCTGTGAGGACCGTGAGAGGTAAAATCCAAGATGGCCTCGAGTCTCTCGGGTCAAATGTTCAAACACTCTTAATTTTGGATATTATGATTATTGATGCTTTATGTGTCTCTCAGAGCTGGTAAAAGTGGCACTCATTTGTATTACTTTGTTTACTATTGCTGGATATCGTAACCTATAAATTCAATAGTGTTTAATTTGGTAATTTAGCTATTTTGTATTAGCTCATAATGTTAGTCTATAAAGTTAGTTAAAGATTGTATATAAAACGTTTGTAATCTTGTAGTTTGTACATTTTAAATGTCTATAAGATGTAAAATAAATTACAAAATATGTATACATCCGAATGCCATGTTGTAGAATGTGAACAGACATAATATTGTGTAATCTAAAGATCATCCAATTCACTTTGTGTTATGGATTGACAACAATCTATTTTATTATTATTTATTTAAATAAACAAACAAACAAACAAACATGTGATGTTTTGCTTCCCAGGCCTTGTGGACCCCTCTTCACATCGCAGCATCAGCAGGCAGAGAGGACATAGTGAAGGCTTTAATATCCAAAGGAGCTCAGCTGAATTCAGTGAACCAAAATGGATGCACAGCTCTGCACTATGCCGCCTCCAAAGACAGATATGAGGTAAGGCTCCCAGGTTGCAGTTACTTTGACTGATACTCCGATCTCATGAAGAAGACTATACTACATACTTGTAATCCTAAACTTGTATTAAGTGTTTTCATGATGCTATATATATGCATATGTCACACAGGGGTGGAACTTTAAAGTTGTTCCTCTCGCCATTTTTCACATAACCCATGAATTCCATTAGAGTACAGCATAGGTATGAAAAATAACTTCTGTAGTGTAAAATATGTTTTTAGTTTTTTTACCATCAGCTGTGTATTAGAAGCTTTGGTCTGAAAATGGAAAGCAGTTTCACATCTTGATAAAACGACGTACCTTCTGGCCACATTATATCATATAATATAATACTATTTGTTTACTTTGCTGTTGGGGGTAGAATGATCACTTGGATAATACATATGCTGCAGGATATCATTGCTATCAACTTCTTTTTGCATTTAGTAATATTTGAGAACAACAGCACGATCAGGCTACATTTTATTGAGAAATATCTTTAATGTGTATTTCTTAGGACTGGGGCAGAATATTAGAAAATCCTTCCATATAATGCAATCGAGTGCAACACCACAACTAACTATGACCTCATTGCTGAACGAGGATTGAATAAACTCCTCTTTGATTGTGTAAAAAAAAAACACATTAAAGAACTCGTATAAATTAACTTTATTTCAGAACAGCATTGTTGGATTTTTCTAGATTGTACTGGTGTACCTAATATAGTGGCCACCTAGTAAATGTTCAATGTATAAATAAATATGTAAAAAAACTTGAACTCATCCCGAGAATGCTTCCATTTTTCTAAAGAAAAGTTGTAATGTATAACCCTAAATACACTTGTCTTTTTTTTTCGATTTAGTATTGAATTGGGAGAAAATATGTTGGTGTACATTGTTTACCCCTGCAGGGGACAAGAACATGGAGCAAGTCACAGTAACACAAGATGCCTACAATGCATTAACATGGTGTTTGACATTTTACCTGTGGCATGCCATTTTGAAACCTACACAACAGGATCTGAAGATGTGTTTTTCATATAAATGGGAAGTCAGTGTTAGTAGGATACTTTCACTAACGTGTTACTACCAAATCTTTCCTCTCTTTATAGATCGCTCAGCTGTTGTTGGAAAGCGGAGCAGACCCCAATATCAGCGACAGATACGAGTCCACTCCCCTTCACAGAGCGTCTGCCAAGGGCAACCACCACCTCATCCAGCTGCTGCTCAAACAGAGCGCCTCCACCAACATCCAGGACTCACAGGGCAACACACCACTGTACGTGTGGATACGTATTTGACTTATACTGCATTGGGGCTTTCAAATACTGTAGGCTAGAGTTTAAAACTACCAGCCCTTAAAGCAGTCGTTCTCAACCTGGAGTTTTGAAGATATTTCTGGGGGTTGAAAAAAACATCAGTAAAAAATTAAATGTAGTATTTTAAACTGGGGATATCATTTGCTTTAGAATATATTTTATTGAGTGTTATTGTAATACATCCACACAACCACCCCTTCATTTAGCTCTACTAATTTAACCATTCACATCACACTTGCTTAACTTTAGGGCACAATCACAAGGCAGAAGTGTTTAAACCCCAAACATTAAAACACAGTGCATCTTCCCCTATATTTGCAAACAATTTATGAACGATGATTGCCTGATTATTAAGGGGGTATGCAAACTCTAAAATGTTAAAAGAAAACCCTGCCCTAAAGTGTAAATTCAACAAAATTTAAATAATGTGTTCTCACTTATCTTTAGAGAATTACAGTAATCCCAATGTGTGAATGTTTGTCTTAGATATGTTCACCTTTGGCCTAATACAGGGGTCTGCAACCTGCGGCTCCGGAGCCGCATGCGGCTCTTTAAGCCCTCTACTCTGGCTCCCTTGAGCTTAGACAAAAATAAGAAGGAAATAAAATACAAATATGTGTAGGACTATTTATATTTTGTTGCATGGTTGAAAATGTTTCGTATCTTGTATTTTGAGGTGATACTGTGACACATAAAAAATAAAGATAAACGGTTTTAATTAAGTCAACTAAAATATGCGTCATATCCTGCGATGGTCCCGCGGCAGCGCCTTTTCTTGCAGGCGATAACCTGATCCCCGGCTCGATGAGCGAACTATGGATAAATCAAAGAAAATAAAAGTATCGGAGGGACACAGAGGGTTTCATTCTGCGTGGTTAGGGTTATGCTTTCACAGCAAACGATGCTGGTTTACCGGTATATTTGATATGTAGAGAGAAGTTGTCAAAGGTGCTGCAGCCTTTACGTATTGGAGGAAAAACACGGAAGAGGAAGACAGCTAACGATGTTCAGTCATAATTCAAACACAACTATTTTTAGGGTGCAGCTATAGGTTTTATTTATTTTAAAGTAGGCCTGTATTTTATTTTTTTTTCCTTATATGAGTTATTTGTTTATTATTAGAGGTAAACAGTTTTCTATAATATAATAAATAATACATGCAAACAAACTATAGTTTTTGTCTATGATATAACAACATATACAACATTATAGGCTATCAAGCTATCAAATATGTTTTGCGGCTCCAGACTAAAAAAAATGGTGGAAAAAGGGGCAAAATGGCTCTTTTGGTCAAAAAGGTTGCAGACCACTGTCCTAATATAATGAAGGTGATTCGAATTTAGCATGTAGTGCAATCACAATTTAAAAAAAAAGGAAAAGCATCATAGGCGTGAGGCTCAGGTTTGGGAAGGCTAAATCACATTTTTTACCTGACGCTGCCCGTCTCCGGCGTCTATAGAAAAGAGATAAACTCATTGTGTGGAGTTTAAATCTATCAAGTAATATTACAGGATAAAGGAAATACAGTTTAAACTGCCGTATGCAGAGAAGGCGCCGACGTGTCACACTTATCATTCATATCAGATCATCGATCATATAATATCATAATATATCATATATGTCCTTATCTGAGTCAGCTTCTCGAGCCGTATCTGGCCGTGCAACACTTACAGTGTCACATACTGTATGCAGAAGTATTATTTTAAGCAACACATTAAGTTGACGAAACACTCAACTCAAATGTAATTAAAGTCAGATCCACTCGTGTCTTTTAGACGGGGCAGTGATATCATAAAACTGTTGTACGCTTTCAAACACTCGTAGTTTATTTATTTTTTAACCAGTTGTTCTGTATTCACCTTGCAGGTGCATGTGGCTTGTGGCTATGTGGCTTGTATCCTGGATTATATGTTTAAGTCATGGATGTTTAAAGTTCATATTTGTCTAATATTAGTTTACTTTTCATTAATGATGTATGACGCTGCGCTGTCAGTACACTTGTCCCTGTTTGTGATTGGTCAAATGTAGCTAACCCCGCCCCTTTCACATGAACGAGCTGCGCTCTCAGCTGGACAGAGAATCCCTGGCTTGATTTAACGAGTTGATAACCAGCGTCGTAGGACCGCTTAGCGAGATCTCGTTTGAGGGTTAGTTAAGATAACTCAAACATATCCAGGGTCTGTTGAACTGGCTTCGGGCACAGGTGGCTGCATAGCAGCGCTAATGTCAAAGACACAAACATTATACATTATATTTTTATTTTACCAGGATGCAGTGACAAAAATATTTGGGAAGGCTTAGCCTTCCCTAGCCTACAGTACCCGCTGCCCCTGAAAAGCATCTCTGTATTTATAATTCTGCTTTTTTTTCCCAGCCATCTGGCGTGCGAGGAAGAGCGTGTGGAAGCAGCCAAGATGCTGGTGGAGCATGGGGCCAGCATCTACATTGAGAACAAGGAGGAGAAGACCCCGCTACAGCTAGCCATGGGCGGCCTGGGCAACGTTCTGCGCCGGATTGTTGAGGGATGATTCATTTAATGACCCCATGTCTCACTCCTGCTCTGATCCCCACCATCACAAGTTACATCATTAGAAATCTCCTCCCAGTCTGTCATCCCTGGAGTGACAGTCAGATGTGTAACAGGTCGAAGATGAGCTGGTGTAAGCCGGGAGAAAAGTTGTTTTCAGACCCTTTGATGGGGCACTGAAACTGCTCTGAACTTAGATGTCTGATCAAAAACAGTATCCTGTGCAACAAGGCGGCATTTTCTTATGATATATTTCTTTTTAAGTTTGATTTAAATGACCAATTAAAATATGTTTTCAGGCCTGTTAAAATAGTTGAGGATGTGTTTATCTGTTGTACATGTGCTCATTAAATCCAGCAAAACATTCAATATGTGTTTCTGGCCAACTCCTGAGTGAAATATCATGCTCTTTAGCTGTTAAATGCTTCAGCTAGTTGTGTTGTAGTATAACCAATAGGACACCATACAAGTATTAAGTGATTGTGGTAGCACTTCACTCTATAACAGTGGAGTTGTTGCTTAGAGAAATTCAACTAAATGATTCATTGATTGATTGAATTGATTGATTGAAAAGTTTATTAACAGCTTGTATATTGGGTACAGTACAGTACAGCTCAAAACATACAATTGTTAAGGGGATGCAGACCAGAGAAAGACTTTCGTCTTGTTTACATCAGGGTCCCCCATTTCCAATTCATCATGTCATTTAAGACATAAATATATTCAAAATCATTTTTTTTCAAAAGAAATGTTGCAGTATAACTAGTGGGAGACCAGACCATTGATGTGTGAAGCTATTTTGATACAATACTGTTGGACATGAAGGTTATGAACATTTTCCATTAACAATATTCAGAACAATTTAGCAAATGCATGTTTTTCCAAAGTCTAACCCCCTAATCCCACCAGGAGCGTCTGCGCTGCGTTGCGGCGATTTTAGCGATCGCGGCCACTCTAGTCAATGGGTGCTATTCCACCAGACCCGCTGCGCCGTGCCGCGCCGCGGCTCGAAGCGTCCCAGAAGCTCCTCGCCGCAAGGAATTTCTAAAATATAGGATGAATCCTATTTTTGACGCGGCGCAGCGCAGCGCAGGCAGGAAGTGGAACGTTCATCCAACAACTGCTAGGCTGAACACACGACGCTCCGCTTCCGCAACGTTTTGAAACGCGCCTGGTGGGTTATAACGCAGGAGGAGGTCGCAGCGCGGCGCAGCCGCAGCGCATACGCTTCCGGTGGGATCAGGGGGTAACTCCCGCCTGCTCCAGCCTGATCCAAATAGAGTGGCGAAGTGCCTCCCCTACCAGGGGACCTCTATAGAGTGGCGAAGTCACGCCCATCTACTTCCGCCCCATGGGACCTTATTTCTGAAAAATTACGTGTTGAAGTCAATGGGGAGAGAAAGATTATCTTTCGATCCCGTTTGAATTGTGCCACGAATTACACATATGATGTTTGTCAATCTTAAAGAATCATTTCCATGTCAAAAAAGTCACAGTTTGTCGTAAAACTGTTGAAATATAAGACCAGGAAAAATACGCAACTAGAAAGACTATCCCAGAGTCGCGTAAGTGAATTTAGCTAGCTGACATTAACGTTACACATTACACTCCTGTTACTCACCGAAACCTTGTAAAGCCGGTCCCGCATGCTGGAACCGACTAACTCCCCTTTTGTGTAGGGTGAATTGCCCTAATGTGGGAAATGTTTTGCATTTCAGACTTCGGGAATATTTTTGCTATATGAAGCCGATACAATAAATCAACATCAAGTACCATTCTGAAATCCCCATGATGTGTCCTAATCAAACCAAAAGAGAAAATGCAGATATTACACTCATAAAAGAAATGGTAGACATATAAGTACTCTTAGTGCCAAGTTGTCTCAGACAATCTGCATTTCCTAATGTGGGACAGTTCTGTGCAAAATGTGGGACACTAAAAAGTATATGTTAAAAAGCCTCAGTCACCTTAATTCATCTAATAAAAACATCTCAGGTCAGTAACACTCAAAGCTAAATGTGCAATACCATGTTCAGCTATGTTACTATTTATAATGTTATTGTTTTTACAACAGAATATGTTTTTCTTTAAATTGAAGTTAAATGCATCAATCTGATGCACTTTGAGGGCAAAATTAAGAGATTTATGGATACAGCTCTCAACACTCATATGAAACAGAACTGTATATATTTCAATAATCCAAAAACTATTAGAATATGCTCACAACCAATAACACATATTTGATAAACTCCTCTCTCCTATCTTTATCTTACCTAGTCTGCATTCTTTCTTTTTTATTTATGCATATTCGACTGATCACTCCCCTTTTACAATGTGTGTTTGTTTTTTTTACTGACCTATAGCACATATTGGAATGATTTCTTAACTTAGGCTATTTTTTACAATGTGTGTTGGAAGGATTTATTAAATTACTATGAATATTTGGGCTTAAATTAATTGCCATCTCTTAAACTCAGACATTAATCCCTGACTTTGTCATACCATTTTAACAGAGATGCAGCCACCCCCAATTATTTAATATAATTTGCCCTTCACCTTAAATATCTAAAATAATGCATTAGAAGACTAAAACCCTGTAAATAACCATTGCTCTTGCACAATCCATGCCCCTTTTAGACCTGTCCCACATTAGGCAAATCATACTGTCCCACTTTGCGGAACATGTTTCCTAAAGTGGGACGATGGAACATTTGATTGAAATAAAAAATATAGAGTATATTTACACCATATTATAATATGTTCTGATGAACAAACATATCATAAACACATCCTGATAAAAAAATTGCAAGATTGTTTTATTTATACGAAATTTAAAACCTTAACATTACATTTGTCAAAACACTATAGAGGCTTCTCAATACTCAAATTTCCCCTCCTCGGTTCCCCCTCCTCGAGACTTAGACCCGCCCACAGGAGATGCGAGCGGAGGACCGAGGAGAGAGGAGGGGAAGCAGCAGACGTTTAAAGAAATGAGAACTCCTCTCCTCTGAGCGGTCATTTTAAAGAGACGTCCGTTCATTATTACGTGGCAACAGCTGCATCAGCTGTCGAGTGTTTTGTCATAGCGCTGTATCTCTGTAGATCAGCTGAACATTGTTCCCCCACATATTTACTTTGAATTCATTGAGAGTGCGGTATAATGAGACAATAACAGGCTACAGATGCGGACACACACACACAAATATATTTATATAAATATATACAATTTAAAGTATGAGAGCACTCTCATAATAACGTAACACAATCAGAGACTGGATATATCCCCCCCTCTCTCTGGTCGCTGAAATGGGGAATTGAAATTACGGGCCAAAAGTTGTATTTAAGTATTAAAAGTAAGCAGAGGACACCAAACCAACTGAGACCCGTCTGTCCGCCGCATTTACGCACTGTACAACACACACTTCCACACTGTACCACACACACACCTACACACTGTACCACACACACCTACAGCTCCTAAAGCATAAGCCGTTGTGTATTTTATTATGTGAAGCAATGGTCTTAGAAAAATATCGACTCTTTGTTTGTAGATATCTACTAAACTAAAGCAAATAAAGAGAGTAGTAGTGATGTTACGTATTGCGCCGAGGCTTCGGAGCGTGTGTCGAGTAATCCCCGAAGCTTTTTGTGAAGCATGTATCGAGGCTTGTATCGTTTTTTGCCAGTGACGTCATCGATGACAAACGAAGCCCTGCCTGTCGATACCACGTGACTGCTTCACGAAGCGATTCAGATCGGTTGAACCGTTGAACCACAACGCTCATAATACCCATGGATGTATAATAAGAACCATATTACCCCTCCTGTACCCGGGCCCGGTGACACGATGAAATCAAGAGAGCTCAGACCCTCACTTATATAGAGGTCGGAACATGTCATAACGTATAAATAGATACAAGCATAAATAAATGTAGGAATAAAAACATGAATAAATACAGGAATAAATATGTTCCAGTGTTTGCAGGGAGCTGTAGTGTGTGTGCTGTGGCTCAGCTGGAAAGCAGTTGACTCACGACCGCAGGGTCCCTGGTTCAACGACTGAACAATACGTATTTTTTGTTGTTTATAAAAGCTACAGCTAAATGAGACAATGTAGTTAATAAATGTATTCTTTGATATGGTTTAGCCTTTCTCAGGCTACAACATGGTTAAGTTTATGAAGGAATGCAAATCCCTCTTTGCAATGTTTACCAGCCTCCTTAGGCTTTTCAATCACAATCATTCAACTGGAATAAAAACAATATTGTTAACATTAAGATATGATTTTATGTTCGTTGTTTAGAGTTATTCTAAGGCTTTACTCATTGGGAACTCGGTATGAGATAGAGCACACTGTTGAGATGTCCAATCTGCCTGTTTTACACACTTTGACCAAAAGGGGGGTTTGTGTTCAAATGAAGCCCATGATGAAGCCTCATGAGATGAAGCCTTTTGCGAACCAATGGAGAGGCGAAGTCACGCCCATCTACTTCCGGACCATGGGACCCCGGAAGCGAAAAATGTACATTGAATTCAATGGAGAGAGAACACGTATCTTTTGATCCCGTTTGAATTGTGCCACGAACTACACATATGATGTTTGTCAATCTTAAACAATCATTTCCAGGTCAAAAAAGTCACATTTTGTCGTAAAACTGCTGAAATATAAGACTATGAAAAATACGCTACTACAAAGACTACAAATCCAAAATCCCATTCTGGGTCGCGTAAGTGATGTCACAGGCATGCTCGGTGATTTATAATAAGACTCGTAATTAAAGCGAAGAAGAAGAAGATCTCATAACTGATTTATTCCCTCCAATAAATTATAGATCGCTAAAAATAAATTCACTTTTACAAGATGCCTGTGTGCTTTGTACCAGGTTGTAGTCATAAAAGTGATCATACCACTTGCTCCTTCTATCGATTCCCGTCTGATGAAAGGACCAGGAGTCGCTGGATCAGACATATCAGGTAATATCATAGGTAAATATACATGTTGTGCATGTTCATGTGCATAGTCAAGTTAGCTACCTAGCTAGTAGCGACGAGTAGCGAGCACGTTAGTTAGCATTACATTACTTAGCCTTGTCATTTTTAGTAGCCTTACCATGAAGTTATTATTTTATTACATGAAGTAAACCAAAATGTTAAACAGTAACCAAACATGATGGTAAGTATTTCGTGAAACATTTGAAGAGTAGCCTACTGCGCCCTCCACCGGGTGCTAAGGAAGCAGTTCAGGGAGAGTCGAAGGCAGGCAGGGAGCTTTGCATGACATTCTTCTGGACGTGTTTCATTGTGATGACAATCTGTTTGTTGGAAAGACAGTCGTTGTGTGCTTATTGAGAGAAAATTGTTAGAAGAGATAATTATTCAAAGTGTTTCAAAGT